TTCAAAATTCATGCATGCTTTTCAGGGAGTTGAGGTGAAGCTTCTTTTTCTATCGTTGCCAATAAGCGTCGTAGACGTTGCTAGCGACCAGCTCAAATTCCACGCCTTTATTGTGTCAAAGGGTTCAATGCTTCATCGGCGTGCCGCCTCAACTGATGCTCGATGGTCCTACGCCTGAATTGGGATGTACTCCCTTCCTTTGAGTTGGGCACTTTACTTGATAAACTGTCCCTTTCGTTTCATTTTTATATGTATTGAATTACAAAATAGTCAGGTAGACCGTTGTATTATATGTTTTTTTCGATGGTAATGCCGCCGATGATATTAGAATGTTTCTACCCTGGATATAGCTTAGTATATAACCTAACAAGATTCCCAATGACGAAGCTAGGGGGGCAATGCCCCCCTCCCGACCTCCAAGATTGAGAAAATTCATTACATGCCCTTCAAGTTTTCATATAAAATGGTCAAAATTATATTTCATCCCATTTATTGGTTCTTGGCTCCATCCATGGAGGTTGCCCGGTGCCTAGGGATGCAGGGCAGTGCCCGATCCGCCCTGCTCTATAGTGAATCAGCTCCGTAATGATTTGGTTCAGTTTGAACTAATCATTTGAACGTATAAGTAGATTTATAAATACATTATTGTATAATTCTTGATGGCGGCTTGCTAGCTTCTCGTAGTGACTGCCGCCGCATGTTGGGTTTGGTACTGACGGTACGTACTCGGTACTGATGGGTAATTGAGTTCTACCAAATTAAGCCATGGTTTTAACCAGGCACCTAACTTGTGTATTGAGAATCCTCGGTAGTAGTAGTAGTAGTAGTAGTAGTAGTAGTAATAATAATAATAATAATAATAATAATAATAATAATAATCCTGTCCCGAAGCTGTTCCGGTTGGATCTGTAATGAGTTGTTCTTTCTCTTATTTTCTTCTTGTGTATGCATTGCCTTTTTCTGCATGCGAATGTGCAAACTGTAAACTGATAACTATCATGGTTCGGAAAAAAAAACTGAAGACTGTAGCGGAACGTACCTCCGCCTATGCTTATGCACTCCCCCCGTCCCAAAATAAGTGACTCAACTTTATACTACCAGGGTATAAAGTATAAAGTGAAGGTGTTGTGTCGTGTTTTCCATATGAAGGAACTGAAAAAACTGAAGGTATTTTTGTCGTGTTTTTCATATGAAGGAACTGACAATTGCAGTACCCCTCCCTTTTTTATTAGGAAAAAATAAAATAGTTTCATGCTGCCATGTTTGTTGTTTGGCCGATGAGATGGAAAAACGCTTGGTGAAATTGCTGGGGAGAAGTTTTAAAGGTTTCCTTGGTAGTACTGCTCTGTGCTCTTCTTAAGAAGTCATTCAACAACAAAATCCTTTCTTCTTTCCCTTATGGTGTTTGTAGTTCAGAAAGTATTAACAATAGCATTGTTATTTATGTAAGCTAGTTTGGCATGATAGGCTAATGGTGACGGTGGACCAAATACTAGTTGAGTCGTAACCATGTGTTGCATCTGAATTGTCATAGAAATTACTATCTGCAACCCATTTCTGAATTTTCAATGCCGTCAGAATGGAGTAAAGTGTTGTGCAAAAAATTATGTATTTAGTTTGGGTACAGGCACAGGGCTTCTTCAGTGGGTATTGGAACATGCCAACATGAACAGATTGCGCAGGGAACAATCTCGAGGGCGAGGGAAGTGTGGGATTATGGTTGCAGGAGCTGATTCATGGAAAGCTAGATGATAGTTTTGAACTCGATATTCTGTAGACTGCTATCCAGTAGATAGGTATGCTTGTTTGGTTGTGTTTTTCTGAATTCAAGAATATTTAAATTTTGAACTCGTTTGATTAACACAGGGGATAGAAGCTTCAAAGACTATTCAGTCTTAGTAACTGAATCCAAACAACATTGCTTACTGAAAATTCAGACAAGATGCGAGCAGGGAAGTAACTGAATCCAAACAACACAAATGCATGAACATGATCTGAAATTTATAATGTGAGACCATGCAAGAACGACGGTAAACATTCAAGAAGGCATCCAGAAATTTGCTAAAATGGTGTCAAAAGGACACCAGATGATAGTTTCTGATTTAGCAATTAAGATCATGTTCCACGACAGACGGGGGCAGAGTCTGCATCTAACCAACTATGCATGTACATGGCAGACAAAAACACCTAGTAGCTTCGTCCCTTAGAAAAAAAAAACGCGTAGTTTTGCATGACCAGAGAAACTGCACGAGAATGCTTATATGTAGCAAAGCAGGCAGGCAAAAACTGCCATCCAAAGAATGATGCTTCTTCTATCTATCTATATAGCTCTCCCTTATGCTGCACACATCTGGAAGCTTCATTAATCCTTCTCCATCATCAACAAATCCTTTCCTTTCTTTGGTACTCCCTCCGTCCGGAAATACTTGTCATCAAAATGGATAAAAGGGGATGTATCTAGACGTATTTCAGTTCGAGATACATCTCTTTTTATCCATTTTGATGACAAGTATTTTCGGACGGAGGGAGTACCTGAGAGACACAACACAAGAGAGAGGACACAGGTCAGCATGGAGCAGAGGATGATGCCATTGTGCGAGAGAAAAACAAAGAACAGAGGGATGCAACTAGTGCTGTGCTGATGCTTACAGATTTAGTTGGAATCAATTTCTGCTTTGACAGACGCTTGTGGAACTTTGAATGTCACGGCTTCATCATTCGTCTTGAACACAGATCCCACCCCCTCCTCGCTGAAAATTACAGAAAATAACATTGTCAACTTTCCGAATCCCTACATTGACAAACTTGTATAAATTCAGCAAAAGAAGAATCAGGTATCTGTCAACATTAGGTAACAGCTTACAAGTTAAACATCAGGAATAAAGCATCGACTTTGTAAGCGTATGAAATTGCTTAGGTTCACTAGACAACAAAATGCACTGTCAATTTTCAATGCCCTGTTTAACTGACCAAACAAGTGTTTTTATAGGCATAATACAACAGCACAGCCCCCTAATGATACCACAGCCCCCCCCTGTTAAATCAATTTAAAGATAGCAGTCTAATTGTAAATAGACAAGTAGTACTGTCCATCATGTATTATCCAATATATTCTTGCTAGGAGGAAGACCAACTTTCTGGGTAACTAGTGTATAAACTAAACAGTATAGTCCATATCCCTGACAATACAGAACCGAAAGCATTCTGAGGTTAAACAGAAACCTAATCAGCCAGTTCTACTAGACAGCGACGGCAGCAAACAAAATAACAGGCCAACCAATGAAACCTAAAGAAGAATGATCAAATTGATATCAAAGTACGCGTCGACACCCACATCCCACAAGAAAATTGACAGGCTGACCAATGAAACCTAAAGAAGCATGATCCAATTGACAGTAAGTATACGTCAACACGTCTAGTCAATGTGCATGCTAGCATACCATCTAGTCATCAAGCGCGTCCAGTTATTAATTACACCTAGTCAAGAGTCAAGACAAGCTTAACTTTCAGGAAAGTTGATGCACATTTCCACGAAAGCCCACCAAACAAATTGCATCAGCTTAATAATTAGTAACGCAAAGGTGCAATGGATCCAAATAAACTTGCACATCAGAAACCTAAACAAGCCATTTCCAAATGACAACAGGAACGCAACAATACAAATTAAGGTTCGCATCAGAAACATGAAAAATTAGCTCTGCAGAGGTTCTATGGATCCAAAGAAACTTGCATATCAGAAAACTACAGGAACAGTCAACACATATCTAGTCAATATGTATGTGGATATCACCATCGATCTACTATTCATGCAAAGTTCTAAGGGTTCAGTTAAGATTTCACATCAGAAAGCTAAAGAAGATGGTCCAACTGACAAGAGGTACACATCAATGGGCATGCAGGCTCACTCGAGCCTTCCAGGAAGGTTGCGGCAATAATATAAACCCAAACTTAAGTTAATCCTGAAAAGGTCTATTGGATCCAAATAAACATGCAATTCAGATAACTACAGAAAACAGTCAACACCACCAAACAGTACGAATGCAGATATCACCACCGACCAGCATTTAGTCATGCAGAGTCCTACTGATTTAGATATGCTTTCACATCAGAAACATTCAGAAATAAGAATTGAACAGAACTGACATGTTGCTGTGCAGAATTAGTCATGCGTAGGTGTTTCACATACAGAGGGGAGTTCTTTATTAGTTAAGAAAAGCTCAAATTTCAGTAAAGTTAATCCACATTTCCTTGCTTGTCTACCAAAGAAATTATCAAGTGTTTCACATAAAAAAACATACAGAAGTGCAGAGACTGACAATTACCATCTACTCCCTCTGTAAACTAATATAAAAGCATTTAGATCACTATTTTAGTGTTCTAAACGCTCTTATATTAATTTACGGAGGGAGTACTCACATAAAGAGGGTTCTCAACATTCAGGAACTTGTATCAGTAAACAGTTAAGTCATGCATAGGTGTTTCACATCAGAAACCAACAGAAGTGCAGACTCGAGACTGACAATATATATCCACAATTGAAAAATTAGTCGTGCAAAGGTCAATATGCATGCTGATATCACCATCGATCTACTACTAGTCAGCACAGTTCTACAGATGTGGACATGCTTTCACATCAGATTCAGAAACATCAAAGTCTCTGAATTATACCGATCTAACAGGTCCAATAACAATAATGCAAGCGGCAGAACAGAGTAGAGGAGGCTGGATCTGAGCAGTACCTGTAGATGTCGGCGTATGAGTTGACGTAGGGGATGAAATCCGAGTAGTACATCCCGCCGGAGAGGGGGCCGATGGAGCGGGTGACCCTGCCATCGAAGTCGGCGGCGAGCACGAGCTGCTCGAGAGGATCCCACATGACCACCTCGGCGGCGCCCTGGGAGCGGAGCAGGGTCATCCTGTCGTGGTAGCCCATCTTGTTGGCGTGGAACTGGCCGGCCCAGGCCCAGGTGACCTGGTCGGCGGCGTCGCCGGGCACCATGTAGAGCACGGCCACCTCCTTGGCGTCCTTGTCGACGCAGGCGACGCAGAAGTTGCCCTCCATCTCGCCGATCTCCCAGTCCTTGCGGCCCTCGACCTCCTGGGGCGCGGGGATGAGGTCGACGCAGCCCGTCTCCGGCGTGTAGCAGAGGATGTGGCCGATGGTGGTGCGGAAGAAGGCGCGGCCCCGCGCGCCGACCCCGGACTGGGCGACGACCGTCTCGGGCGCGCAGATGTCGTCCCCGACGCGCCAGTCCCAGGTGCGGGTGGAGAAGGACTCGACGGCCCAGACGCCGTCGTGGACCTGGTAGGTGACGACGACGTGGTAGTGGCGGAAGCCGGCGTCGTCGTCGTCGTCGTCGTCCTCGAAGGCGATGACGACGGCGGGGTCGGCGTCGAGGCGGTGGTCGCGGTTGTGGTAGGGGAGGCGCACGCGGCGGAAGGTGAGCGGGTTGGCGACGTAGTAGAATCCCGTGGCGCAGCCGCGGAGGCAGACGAGGCCGCGCGCCGAGGCGAGCACCGAGACCCGCTCCGGGAAGGCGGAGAAGGCCGGGTCCGGGATGAGCTGCTTGGCGCTGCGCACGGGGTCGAAGGCCGCGTAGGCGACCGAGTCGAGGGGCGTGTGGTGGAACATGCCCGAGAGCGGCCGCGTGAGCCGAGCCGGCGACGCGTCCTCGTCCTCGTCCACCTCGAACGGGTCCTCCTCCTCGTCCTCCGAGCCCGCCGACTCCAGGCCGTCGTCGTCGCCGTCCTCGTCCACCTCGAACGGGTCCTCCTCCTCGTCCTCCGAGCCCGCCGACTCTAGGCCGCCGCCGTCGTCGTCGTCGTCGTCCTCGTCGTCGTCGGAGGAGAGGGAGAGGGGGGAGGTGGAGGCGGGGAGCGCGAGGACGCCGCGGTCGTCGTCCGAGGACTCGGCGGGGTTGTCGGGGTCGAGGACGACCCACTCCTCGTCGGAGGAGTCCATGGCGATGGCTCGCTCCGCTGGGTGCTGGCTAGGGTTTTGGGGGCTGGGGATTCGATCCATGGGAGGTTGCGGGCGGATCGGCTGCGGATGGCGGCGGAAATTTATACGGGCGGGGAGCGGAGGGGAGGGGAGGGGAGGGGAGCGGAGGCGGCGTACGTCGGTTGGGCGGCTTCCTTGAGGGGCACGAAGTGGGGCCGGGCCCACGTGTCGGCGGGCGGTGGGGAGGCGTGGCCGCGACGGAAACCGCGTCCGTGCGTGCGTGCTGCCGGATTTGCGGGGGCACATTCCCACGCCTTCCACCCCATTGATTTCCTTGGCAAACTTAATTGAGTACACTCTAGATCCGTCTACTCGTCGATTATTATGGCGATTAGATTCTTGTATGTTAATAATCGTAGCCAAACAAAATGTAGTGATAGTATAGCCAAATTTTGCTCGTGTAGAAGGCAGAACCATGACTTGAATTGACTCGGGTCTTTCGGATGCCACGGAGCTAGCTAAGATTGATTGTATGGACTGTTTCAGTTGCGCAATATTTCACTCGCAAAAAGAAAACCCGCCTCTTGGCCGACTTTGGAGCTCTCAATCATAAGCGAGTCACTGCAAAGAGATGAAGTTGCATACGACTGCCCGTGTACTCCAAGACCGCGCCTTCAGGAAGGAGACGACACCACCGCATGATCCAGGGATCCAGGTTTCTCCTGGAGCAACACGGAGGACATTGAAGAACCACAACAACGCCAAAAAGAAGCAGACAACGTCCATTAGACGCCGCCATCGTCGGGCTTGCAGGACCAAAAAGGGTTTTCACCCCCGTAAGAACTCTTCGCCCTCGTGACGACGTGCAACCAGACTCAAAGACACGTGTCACACAACCGCCATCGAACGTCGCACATTGTCCACCACGCTACCCACTTTGGCCACCACGGTGCCCACATGGCCATGGCAACCAAACAACACTTGAGTGACGAGCTCCGCCCACGAGTATCGCAACTCCCATCACTAGGGCCACCGCCTCGGCAACCGAGATCACCCCTCAACCTCCGACATGGCCTACCGATACCACCGACTGGTGAAGGGGAGAAGGCCCTATCTTCCACCCCCAAACGAGCCTCTTGGCCGGGAGGAGGCCAGCAGCCACCCCACCATCCCACCACCCCACCGGGGGCTGGGCCACCGTCATGACCAATCTAGATCCTCCAGATCTTAGCGATGACAAGGACGGGAGCCCCGCTACCTCCCTCCTCGGAATGCCCCGCCACATTGACTGTCACATTCCCGATCGATCAACTACCACTAGTACAAATAGGGCCTTTAGTCCCGGTTCATAAGGGCCTTTAGTCCCGGTTCTGAAACCGGGACTAAAGGGTCGTTACTAAAGCCTCTCCCTTTAGTCCCGATTCTTACACGAATCGGGACTAAAGGCCGTCCACGTGGCCGCTGCCTGGAGGTCCACCTTTAGTCCCGGTTGGTAACACCAACCGGTACTAAAGGAAATTTTATGTTTTTTTTGAAAAAAAAAATTCAATTTTTTTGAATTTTTTTTATTTTCAAATTTCTAAATTTTTTTAACCTCTAATCTCTAATCACCCTCATCACTGCTCAATTTAACCTCTAATCTCTAATCACCCCTCATCATTCCAAATCATCTAACTTTCCGGACGGTCACCCATCTCACTAGTCCAGCCTGAGCACGCCTAACTTCCGGGTTCTATTCTCCCTCGTTTCCAAGTCTGCATTTGTTGTTTTCCTGACAATAGTAAGATGTCAATCCTATTAACCCTAAGGAATTTAGCTTGAGCATGAAGTCACACATTTTACTGTTTGAGTTTCAAATTATTGTTCTAAAAAACAATAATTATTTAGTTACACTAATATTTCTTGAATAAGTAGTTTGACAGCAGTTTGACCATAGTTTGACCATAGTTTGACCAGATTTGACCAAAATTCAAAAACACTGAAATAATTATTTAGTAACACTAATATTTCTTGAATAAGTAGTTTGACCATTGTTTGACCAGATTTGACCAAAACCAGATTTGACCAAAATTCAAAAAACTGAAATAATTATTTAGTAACACTAATATTCTTGAATAATTATTTAGTAACACTAATACTTCTTGAATAAGTAGTTTGACCATAGTTTGACCAGATTTAACAAGAAATTAAAAAAATAAAAAAAACTGAAATTTGAGCATAACTTTTTTTCCTTTTAGAATTTGAGGATTTTAAAAATTTGCAAACAGGTCATAGGCTGTCCCCATCGGATGCGGATTTTCGTGCTGAACATTTTGATATATTATACATTTTTTTCTGACATAGTATGCAAAAGTTATAGCCGTTTTACATTTTCCCTACACTTTTTGCAAAACATGTCCAAATTTAAGTTTTTAAATTTTCCTAACTAGTAGATGTAGTAACATAACTACATCTCGAAGGATTTTAATTTTTAAAGTTTTTAGCATTTTCTTTTGCTTTTTACAAAACTGAAAAGGCGATAGGGGGGGTACAATTTGAAAATGGGACCTTTAGTACCGGTTCGTGCCACGAACCGGTACTAATGGGCATCACACCCATTAGTACCGGTTCGTGGCACCAACCGGGACTAAAGGTCCCATTTGAACCGGGACTAATGCCTTTGCCGCATGAACCGGGACCAATGCTCACATTAGTCCCGGTTCATGACTGAACCGGGACTAATGGGCTAACCCGCCCTGGACCAAAGCCCTGTTTTCTACTATACTGTCAACTGCAGTTGGATACAAGCTTTGGGATACAAGAACGGGGATCCGAGAGAAGAGAGAAAGGGGATCGAGGAAGAGAGCGTCCACCAGTATCTTGTTCTCCGACACTCGCACATGAGGGAGGTCACCCACTACTTAACCTAACTAGTTGGCCACCCAGGTATGCGATGGAAATCGCGAGTTGGGCCGCCCGAGGCGTTGGGCCCGTTCCGGTTGTCATTAGCTATCGGGGTAGGTGGGCCAGGGGGTACATGGAACGTAACATCGGCCGGCCACTGACTCCCATACGTTGAGACTACCCATAGTGGGGAGTAACTTAGACTAATAACATGCACATGTTACTAGTTTATGTTACTGCATATATGGTGGGGTGTAACATAAGTGTGTTATGATGCAACTCTTCATTTATTAGGTTACTCCCACTATGGGTAGTTTGAGCCATCTTCACCAACCTTCGGGATCTGCCACCAGCCGCAGCACCACGACCGCCCAGGCAGCGGAGGGAGAAGTCGACCTCTGCTGTTGCACCTCCACAAAAATGAGCTAAGAGCATCTCCAGCCGTTGGAGCCCCCAAGAATACCACCGAACTTAAAAAGTTGGTGCTAAATGCTTCATCCGATGAAATAGAAGTGCATGGGGAGGGCATCTTTTCAGCCACACCCCACCCCAACCAAAATTTTGTGAAGGAAATGATTAAGTGGGCCAAGAAAAAATACATGCGGGGAGACGTGATTCGCCGAAACTTCCCCCGGCGCCCCAAGAGCCCCCCAATGCGCTGGGTTTGCCGGCGCTAATTTGACGTCCTGGGGGCGTGCCTGAGCCATTTTTCGATAAAAAAAGTCGTCCAAGCCTAAAACCAAGCCTAAAAAGGCGTCCTGTGAGCGGGTGGAGATACTCTAAGCTCCACAACATGGGAGGACGCATGCAGCCCGCACCATCCTTATCCCTCCCCTGTTGCACCTCTACCACCACCAGACATGGGTGAACGCACGTAGTGCGCCGCTTGAGGAAGCGGATCCGGCAGCACAGACGTCACTACCGTCATCGCCCCCGAGCGCGACCCGTTGTCACGCCGCCCGTCGGTGCCCACTGCCTCCAACACGCCGCCGTGCAGCAGCGCCGCTTCCAGGCCTCGGCCCGCACCGACACCTCCGCGCATCCAGACGAGAACTCCCCTCGCCGCCGCCGCCGCCGGTTGACATGACTGAGTAGCCTGTCAAGGTTCTGGATAACATAAAGAAAAACAAATCTTGTTACAAAGGCGCTCCGCGAAGAGAGAGAGAGAGACGTGTGCCAAGGGGGCAAAGGAACGGAACAAACCAGGAAGGATCGATCGATCGATGCTTGAAGTGATTAATTAGTACTCCCTCCTTCCCAAAATATAAGGCGCGATTGACTTTTTACGGTCTTTGATGCACAACTTTGACCACTAATATATATCAAAGTATATGGATTGAACATGTATAAATGACATCGCTGTATTTGTCTTGCAAAGCAATTTTATTTCATATGTATGTATAATAATTTTATAGACATATAATACATAAAAAATATAGTCAAAATTATGCAACGAAGACCAGAAAAGTCAAACCGTGCCTTATATTTTGGGAAGGAGGGAGTAGTATAACCGAAGACCTTGACTTGGCACTCACCGAAGTGATTTGATGTGACGAGACCTTGACTTGGCGCTCATCGATCGGTTCAATGGATGCATCGCTTTGGACGGTAGCTTTGGATCATGTCTTCTTTAGCGTGTCTTCATCACGCGCACACGCATGCGAGTATACACGTCACGTGTACTAGTGCGAATGTTTGACTGGAGAGTCATGGCGATGGCATGCATGGCAGCACCGACCGAATGTCATCATCATCAATCAAAAAGGAAAAATGAAAAGTCAAGCCGATGCACGCGTTCGTCCCCCACTTCCATCCTCAAAGCCAGAAGACAAAAGGAGCTGCCGGCCGTCTGGATAGATCGGATCCTCGTACGTATCTTTTGGGGTTTGTACTTTGTACATTCATAGTATGTATTTTGGTTTTTTACTTCATCCGTCTCATAACATAAGAACATTTTTTACACTAATGTAGTGCCAAAAATGCGGGAATACATTCGAACGTACGCTGCAAGCATTTATTGGAGACCGTACATTTCTTCTTTTTTTTTGAGAAAAATTGCAGACCGTATGTGTGTGCCGTTCGGATAATTTTTCATGCAGGGTTGATTACTGAGAAATACTGGCATGTCTTAAGCTAGAGTTTACTTGAACGGGAAAAAAAAGTTCCAAACGGAGAAACCCGCATGGATTTCGAGCCCA